TTCTGCCCCCGGAAAGATGAAATCCGCTGGGCTCACCTGTCGGACACCTGCTGCAGGTCCACTTTCTTGTCACTGTGCAACAGCTGGGTGACGTAGTGTCGGATGACCCCCACGAAGAAGGTGACGAAGACGATGGGCAGCACGACCCAGACTCGGATACTGGAGTCCAGCAGCAGCTCCGGACCGGCCATGGCGACTCGCTTGTGTCAACACACCCTGAAAACGAGCCCCGGCAGGTGAAGGACAGCCCGAACACTTCACACCACAGACACACTGAAGTTCGTTTTTTGGGTGCACATTATCCTACAAGAAGTAGGCCACAGAACAGTAGACCGCGATAATAATACCCAACGATATGAGAAACTTCAGAAAACACTTGGATATCCTCGCGTCCGTAAAAACAACACGGTACACGGTAAAAAAAAAAAAAACGATGACAAGGAGATTCAACTTAACAACCGGGTTTGGCACTTCAACCAGATGAGTATTGTATTTTCTAGCGTCGCTTATTCGGTCTTTTAGAAGTTTGACACTTTTCTTTTCAGTGACTTCTGAGCTGAGGACGTTGTTCGGTGGGCACCGAATTTAACACGAACTCCCCACAACAACAACAAAACGAAGGAGATCAGACCAAATCTCCATTTCTGGTACAGTATGTAAACAGCTACTACCTACTGTATACTCCCCTTTAAAATTAAACATTTATCATTTGGATTATTTAGCCTTTTGACTATATATTATTCACAAATTTGCAATACAAGAGCTCAAAAAAGTGCTCTCTCTTCACAGGAGCTACGAGTGCGAAACTGTCCCAGCTGCTGCCGAAAACCGCTCCGACACTCGCCTGTTTTCTATTATGTTATTCGGGACACTGCCAGAGACGTCTATATGTACCGAGGCCTGTGTCGAAATAATACCAGAGGTTTTGTTAATTAAAAAAACGCCACCCATTAAACACCTGCAGCGATAGAGCCAGCCGGGTCTCCGCGACCACAGACCGGGGCTCGGTTCGGTATCCCCGCTCCGCCCTCGGCGCTGGAAATAAACATTTAGTTATAATTTCTCCCCCCCACACCGAAAGCAATTTTTAATCCCACTTTATTCAGTATTGATAAGGACCTCGAAAAACACCCGTGTCGTGTGAGTGTGTAGGTAGGTACCTGTGAACCCTGAAAGGACTTCTCCACATGTCCAGAATTAAAAATAAGGACGGGAATTTAAACTTTGACCCCGGCGTCAGTAACGCAAATTAATAAATTCACGTATAAGAAACATATATTTTTTTAAAAAAACGCTCATAGATAACGAACCGTATTTGTTTTCCAAGTCAATGTATGGATTTATTTACACCACATTTAAAAAACACAAAATAACATTAAAACGTCTTGACATTTAACCCGGAAGCCCATGAGTGACGCGTGCAGTGGATGAAAACATATGATGTATGAATTTGCTCCCCTTGATTCTCACGATCTCAGTAATCGATGAGGTTTATATACTTTTCCGCCTCTTGAAAAACTATTTTACACCGTGTGTCACATCTGTTTTTCTATGTTTTTTTGCATTAGCAGCAGTTCAATAAGCATGGGACGTGGTTTATCTTGGTGACATTCAAAGCGAGATTAATTCTGCAAGGAGAGACATGCCTAACGAAAACGTGGCGTTGGGAATATATCGTTGTGCACCGAGAAATGATCTGTTTGTATCGGGTTTGATTATGATAGGTGTGTAAATCGGGCGAGGGGTGATGTCAGTGTTTGTTTCATTTTCACACCGTGCGTCTCTCCTACAGGCTCCTGCCCTGCTGAGACTATACGATGACTCCGGGCGGCAGGCGGAAAGTTGAAGAAAAAGTCTCTGCATACGAGACGTTTATAAACGAGGTCTTGAAGCGAGATTTGCAGTAAGTGTGTGGGGGGCCGAAGAGTGGAATTTTGTTTCTGTTTTTATAGTCTAAATGCAGGTTCTAATCCCAATGTTTTACCTGTCGCAGCTGTAGTTGTCCGGTATATAGTGCAAAACTGAAGCTGTGTGCTTCACCAGATTGGATAAACTGCTGTCCTGTCTCCGTGATCCCCCCCCTCCCCCCCAAAAAAAATCACAGTTTGCCTTTTGTTCTCTAGCTCAAGGCACTCCCCCAGATGTACAGCTGTCTGGTGCATTTCAGGAAATTGTGAGCTCTTGTGTAAATTCTGCTGAGAGAGGGGGAGAGTTTTCTTTTAATAAAGAAGATACTTTATTGATCCCGTGAGGGAGATTGCAGTGCAACAGCAGTTTAGCACAGTCAACAGAGCACAGTGTAATGCAATAATACAACAATACAATACAGTCGGTACACTCAGTGAGAAGTGCACTAAAAAAAGTTGCTCACAGTACAGAATATACAAAAAACAGAAAGTTGTATTGCACATTATCAATATAAAAATATATTGCACAAGCCCCTAGATATATTGCAGAAAAAAACAGTTGTAAACGGGAAAAACCAGATGTAAGCAGAGAGTTTAATGTTTCGTCCATAAGCACGTTAAAGTCAATGTTGGCCCTGCCCAGACACACAGTGGATGAGTTGTACAGAAGTCCTCACCTTCATGCAGATATTGTCAACAGGACAGCACAGACACCCGGGGTGCTGGCTGGGACTCGGGAGCCTGTAGCTTGGAAAGATGAAGGGATTTAATCTGTCGCACCCGGAGCCCAGAGACTCGTGGTCTCCCGTCCCGCGACAGACCGAGGTCACCTGCGGCTCACGGCTGTTTCTGGCTGCTCAGCCGACGCCTGGGTCCGGTTTTTGGGGGGCGGGGAGGAGGAGGTGCAGATGCCCGAACTCAAAGTAAAAACACCCTGAACATCGTTTTCATCTCTCGGCCATTGGGGTTACCTGGCGAGTGTTGTCGCCGTGTCGGCGCCGTGACTACTGTCTGTCTGTTACTGTGCCAGAACGGTGCTGGAGCAGAGAGATGAGATCTACGAGAAGATCGCCCAGTATTTGCAGCTGAAGAACGTGATTGAAAGCCTTCAGGTACAGCACTCGCCTGCCTCTCACTTTACAGTGTGGGTTATATTGTAGGACAGTAGTTATACATTAGGGAAGTTTGAAATCGTGAAATGCAGTGTTTACATATATACTCGGAACGATGTGAACTGGTATCTCAATACCTATCTCTTTAATTTCATGCTATTGTTTTATTTCCATTGTAGCGATAGTGTCCGCTAATAATGTGCTATGTGCTAATAGGTGTCACATAGCACACCTCCGATTTTGGAGCAGTTTTATTAAAACATAAATCACTGACATAAAGAACTATAGATGTATGATTAGATGTACATATATATATATTCTCACAGCTGTGATTTTTGTTTCGAGTAATTTGGTGAATTAGGTTGTTTTTTCTTACTCTTAAACCAGTCTCCCTATTCCAGGAATCGGGAAGCAAGGAGCTTAAAACGGATGTGGACCTGGGCTGTAATTTTTATGTCCAGGCTCATGTGTAAGTACAGCGGAGATGTTTTGAGTCTTCCGTCTTGATTCCTGGCCTGGCTTCTTAACCACCGGTTTTTACATCTGTTAAGGAAGTGGGTTCTTCAAAATAAAACGGATTTCTGGTATTGAAGTGGTATAGACTTTTTTTGTCAATATTTCCTGTGAGAGAACAGGAACGTGCCTTCAGGAGGAGCACTCTGTTATCAGCTGGCTCAGTGGTCAGGGATCTGCACTTGCAAGTGGAGGGTTGCGGGTTCGAATCCCAGGTGGGGACACAGCTGTTGTGCCCTTGAGCGAGGTACTTCGCTTGGACCCCCTTCAGGGAAGCACCCAGCTGTGCAAATATACATGGGTCACGTTGGATAAAGGTGTCTGCCAAAGTATTGATTGCTAAATGAATAATTGGTTTGCTTACCACGTGTCTGCTGTAGTTGACACACTCAGCTTTGCCTTGTTTCTATGACCAGTGAGGATCCTTCCAAGATCTTCGTTGCCGTGGGATTCGGGTTCTTTGTGGAGTTCACGCTGCCCGAAGCCCTGAAGTTTATAGAGAGGAAGACCAGCCAGCTGACAGAGTAAGACTCGGGGAGGGGAGGGGGCAGCAGTCTGCTCTGCTGTGCTCTTACCGGCTGTGATCAGTTCAGCCCAGGATCTGTGAGCTTTCACCTGGACTCTTTCTGAATTGTTCTGTGCATTGAATTTGTCTTGCTCTTGTAAAATGTATTGTTTTTATTTGATTTTTATAGGCATATCAGAGAGCTGGTTTAATTGCATGATAAAGAGGTGAAAGTTACATTTTCATGCTTCTATTGAGAATAAATAATTAAATGAACGACAATAAGTTAAATGAATTAATTTCTTGTCCTAAAATATATTCTGTTGTACTGACTTAGTATGGGATTCACTGCATTTCAACTGTTTATTTATAAAGAAAATGTTTGAGTTTCTTACATGAAGTGTGCGCTCATGACACTTCCTGGATGTTTTCTTTCAGACACAGCGACAAGTTAACGAAAGATTCAGCCAAAATCAAAGCCAACATTCGCATGGTGTTGGAGGTAAGCTGCCTTTTTACCTGGGGAATGGTGTTCCCCATGCTGTTCTCGGACTTTTATTAAAATGGGAAAGAGAAGCTGGAATGAGGGGCTTGGTGCCCCCTCCCTGCTCTTGAGCAACTCTACAGCAGTGTAAAACTCAGTTCTGCTTTCTGAGCGATTCTTTTCTTAGAGGATTTACAGTCGATTACACAAAACATTAATTTCATTAAAGTCACAGGTGCCGGTAAAGCACTTCGGAATTTGGTTAGAAGTTATCACAGAGCCAGCAGCTACATCACCTTCCAACTCACAACTGGCAGCCCCCTGAAGCTCAGCAGGTGTGAGCCTGGCCAGTACCTGGATGGGAGACCTGCTGGAAGAGGTGTTAGTGGGGCCAGCAGGGGGCGCTCATCCTGCGGTCTGTTTGGGTTCTAATGCCCTAGTATAGTGACTGTAAACAGGTACCGTCCTTCTGATGAGACGTAAAACCGAGGTCCTGACTCTCTGTGGTCATTAAAAATCCCAGGGCGTTTCTGGAAAAGAATAGGGGTGTAACCCTGGCATCCTGGCCAAATTTCCTCCTGGCCTTTACCAATCATGGCCTCCTAATAACCCCCCTCTCCGAACTGGCTTCATCACTCTGCTCTCCTCACTGAGATCTGGTGTGTGGAGAGCGTACAGGGTGCTCTGGCTGCCATCATCCAGGAGTTCCCAGTAGAGCTGAGTGGAAAGCCGGTCAGCCCAGAGATTGAAGATGACTGATTTTGTTTCTTACTCGTAAGAGGTAGAGAGATCTTCCTCTGAACGGTTAATTCTACTCTGCGCAGTGCGGTGTATGAGCACAGTTCCTCTTGTTATTCCATCTCTTTATTCTGCACAGGGTCTGAGAGAACTGCAGGACCTGAAAGATCTTCCTGAGGAGAGAAGGCGAGAAGTCTTCTAGAGCAGCGCTGTCTGTTTCTTTCTTCTAGAACCCTAAGTGGGGGAGGGGTGGGAGGGGGGGTGATTGTTCATTTTAATTCGGAAATCGGCAAGTAAATGGTCAGCCAATTCGTGGCTCAGTCTCTGTTTCCGAGCTGCAGTTCCCCTGGACTCCTGTTCCCGGTTATCCAGCAGCAGGAAGCACTGGGGGCTTTAAGGAGAGACTGATCGCTGGGAGTGAACAGACTGACTTGGCTGCTTTCATCTTCGCCGTACGCTCCGCCTCCTCCTGAATAAAACCCAGACGCAGCCTTTCCGTTCCCTACCTAGTCTTGAACATAAACGGATGTGAGTAGTGGAGATCAGGCCTAGTCTTCGGACCGGGGAAGATTGTGGCGTTTTCCCTCTCGGGAGTGACGTGCAGCCTGAGTCCGGAACGACGGGGGACTTGAGGGAAGAGTCTGGCTTCTTCTCGGGAATAAAATCCTGGCTGGAAACAGCACATCGGCTTCCGGTGACAGAAAAGTGCATTCAGTGACAGAATTACAGCTTGAGTGGAGAAGAGATATGCTGTATTTGATTAAACGGCAGGAAGGCAATGCTTAACTTATGTAGCCATGAAGTTTAGAGTTAACTGCATTAAACAGCAATGGTTGACATGAACCCAGAGTGTCATTTTAATGTCCAGGCTTGTGTCTTTGATGTTAAGATTGAATTTCTTATTTCTTGCTCCTAGGCCTGACTTCATCAGCACCTTGTTGGCATCTGTTAAGGGACTGAATTTTTGTAAATTTGAAATTCTTTGATCAGAAGGCCATGCTTGCAGAAGGCAAACTCTTAGATGGTGATGAGAGCCTTGGATTTGCACCTTGAAGGTTGTAGGTTCAAGCCCCAGCTGAGGCACTCCTGCTGGACTCCTCAGTAAGACCCTCTGTCTTACCCCAGTGAAACTCACAGCTCCACAGGTCAATGTAAACTGCTTTTGATGAAAATGTCAGTGAAATGCGTTGATAAGTGAAACTGGAAAGCATGCCTGCCTGACTGAGACCATTATGTTAGAGACCGCTCAGGACGATGGACACTTCATCTTAAAGGTTTATATTCTACCTGTATCCGTTTCCGCATGTGTGCAGTAATTCTGTTCACCAAAGCCAGTGCTTTACTGTGCAGAAGTATAGAAATCATGCATAGATTTACTTATTCCACTAAATTGCTGTTGAGTGAGCCAGGACAGGACGCATAATGGCCACCTCTGTCCTCAGAGACACCATAACATCCTAGAATACAGCTCTCGAGATCATGGGCAGGAGGTTTTACAACTGCCCTGCTTTCTGTGCGTCAATCGTGACTTCAAGAGCAATACGAATTGGGTCTAGTGAACTAATCTACAAAGAAGCAATGGATTAATTAAGTAAATTCACAACGATGCCTGCTTCAGGTGGTTGCCAAGGCAACCTGGCTGCATCCATGGATGTCAAGAGAAAAATGGGCCTTCAGGAGAAAGAAGGGAAAAAAAGCCGGAGTTGTCACGACAACCCGTCCCAGATCACGTGACCCTCCTCCCACTAGACTGTTGAATTTTTTTAAATGTATGCTTTGTTGAAGGTGCTTGAATTTCCTTCAAGCAGACAATGGTAAACATGTTGAGAACCAGAGAACCCTCCTGATGTTTCAGCACTTCAGTTAGGCCTGATGAAAGTGAGACCATACTTGAAAAGGTTTTTGGTGTCTTTTTCTTGTACAAATCAATCTCCCTAAACTGTGTCCTACGTCTAGTGACTTCAACACAAGCTAAAGACTGGCTGAAGTCTTATTATTTTCTGCTTTTGTTTTCCAATAAATAGTGAGTCAGCATTGAAATGAATTGAATCGAAATTGAATCCCATCTATGCAATCAGATAAAGCTTAAATTACCGTGTGAGACCTATTCAAAGTCCCTTTTACACTTTTTCATTTTTCATGCTCTAGGGCACTTTAATCTCTTCAAAGTCCGAATTATTTTTACATTCTAAAGCTCAAATAGCCTCATCATATTCCTTTGGGTCACCTTGCAGCAAAAGTTATCACAACCTCACTGAACTGTAGTTGGGAAGGTGACTCTCCGGACATAGAAATAAGGAAGACATTCAACTTGATTTACTGCAGCTGTTGTAGAAGCAGCTTGGAGAAATAACTGCTCACAAACTGCTTCCAGACCTGGATGTTCAGTATGTTCAAGTTCAATACTTCACTGCCGTAACAACTAGTTGCATGGACATAGGTGTTTTTGGTCATTTACACAATGTGTTGGAGCTACCACAGCACGAATACAAGTTTTATGTGCTTACATACATGGATTTTTTCCTGAAGTCATGCTAAACAAAACTGTATTTCTCAAGGTGGGTAAGGCACTGATGCCTATGGTAATCTTCTCGCTTCCTCTGACCTCTGAACTTTGACCTTCTCTGCCCCATGTTTTGACACCCATGTATGCAGGTTTCTGCTATCTGCCTGAGTCTCACCATCCTCTCTCATTCTTCTTCCTCCAAGTTAGAAATTTATACCACGTAGCTCAGCTTTAAGCCTCTACGTCCTGCTTCACTTCATATACAAGTCCACTTTCTGCATGTCTGACATTTTCTCAAACAAGCTGAAATTTCTTCCTCCCCTCTTTTCTGCTGAACCTAATCTTTTTCAAAAAGCTGTTTCAGAGTGTACAAATAGGAGCATCTGACACATTTACAGAAGACGGTTCAGGCAAACCTTTACCCCCAACGGACAGTGCATTCTGATCCAGAATGTGTATTTGAAGGGTTTGAACATGAGCACATTTTACAGACCAGAGGAGGCCTTTAGTCCTGTCTGAGCTGTTTGGTAGTTAGTAGTTAAGGTAATTGGTGCCAGGACCTCATCCCGCTGTTTCTTGAAAGCAGCCCAGGATGTCGGCTTTAACCACATGGCTGGGTAGCTCGTTCCACACTCCCATAATGTTTTTGGCTAAAAAAAAAGGCATTGGGTAGCTTTTGGGTTCATTCACTCCTTCGTCAGAATTCCTCCCCCCCACAATTTTTATTTAAATTCCATTGGAATTTTTTTTTAATACAGTTCCGCAGTTGAAAGTGGCTTATGCAGAGGTAACCGTTTTCGTTGCTAAAAGCAGTGCACCGTGTTCTCAGACATTAACACACAGACTGAGCGGCATGGATGCACCTGAAAGCACAATCACAATCACTGCAGTAGGAGATGGCAACACACCCACCATCTCACACAGCACAGTCATCAGAAAGCTAACAGCAGCAGGGTGTTTTTCCCCTGACTTACTCAAATCGAGAAGATTTATTTTAAGATATGCTCCGAAATGCATCACTTGAGTTTAATCCCAATGTACAAAAATATTAAGCGCTGCTACACACACAGAACAAAAAAATGACGTTCTGCCATTTTAAATGGAGAAAAACTGGAAGACAAAGTTTACTGCTAACAAGTGCTTTGATGTTGCACAGCAGGTAGCAAAAACAACTGCAAATATAAAAATGGGAAACACTGATCTTAAACCGCCTATAAAAAAGACTTACGATGACTTGATATTCATTATTCTTCTTCTTGATAATGTGAGGAAGTCGTATAAAGAAGGCAAAAAATGTTAGGCTATATAGTAAATGTAGAATTTATATCTTTGGATGTTATGTTAAAATTACACCAGCAGGATAAACCCTTGGTTTAATGAACTTTGGATTTAACAGACATTTCTGCCAAAGGGGAATTCTGTTTGTAAAATCAGAAATACTGGGACTTTCCCCACAATACTGAATTGCTTAAGGTGGGTGTTGCTGGTGTTTTGTATTTTCTAGTGAATTTTTAATAAATAATCGTATTAAAAGATATATTGAAATGTCAACAATATCTAAGCCTCCATAATATGCATAATTAATAAAAAGGGTCAAATCAAATACTACATAAGTTTAAAATTCAGGAAGAGCAACTATAGGTGCCCTATAGGGGTTGGTCCATTACTTACAATGAATGCTGTTTGTGTCTCGTGTTATAGCAGAATTTATATAGTATATTTACGATACAAGAAATAAAGAGCTTCTATGTGATAATAAAATGCAGGAGCAATATTAACTGACTGCATTGATTGCAGCTGTTAAAAAAGCCAAAAGATACAGAAAGTATATAGCAAGACCTTAGAATTGTCATGAGTAAGGAGGTGTGAGTAACTGATTAAAATTAAAATGGTAAATAAGAAAATCTATCAAAATCAGACCCTGACAATCAATTACATAAGTCAACGAGTACACCCCTTCAGAGAGTGGCAGGTGTCACATGGGCTTTGTTATCTTTGTTCCTCCAGCGCAGTGTGGAAACAACATAATAATCAGGCAGCACACTTAAAAAACACACAAATATTTACAGACAATACACATACATACACACAAATATTACACTACTGAGAGCCTTGGAGTGGTGCTTTCTACAGGCACAGAAAAACACCTCTCAGCTGCAGCACAAATACTGTAAGAGGAAGAGAGAACCCGTGTCTCATCTTCTACAAGAACCTACTCCAGACTAAATGTCTCTCTGAAGCAGATGCTAAACAAACAGGAACTTACAGTTTTTCTCTATTAAAAAATGCCTTGCTAAGAAAAATGCCTCTTCCCTGGTGGGTACTGCCTGTAGGAAATCGGTATTTCCACATATATAAACCAGTCTCTCACTTAAGGCCCAGAGTGGGTCTCTGTAGTGCTCAAGATACCTGGAAGTTTCTACAGTTCCGGTTCTGTCAGGGAAGAAGCTTGGAGTGGGCTCTAATCCTTTCTCCTCTTGGTCACTTGTGTTTCTGCTTTGCCTCTGTGTGTGTGTGTGTGTGTGTTTGTATACTGTGTTCTCTAGTGATGTTCTAAAAGCGCTGGCAATGATTCAACTGCGATGGGTTTAGTCCTAGTTACAAATTAGCACTGCTGTTCAGCCTTGGTGACTGTGCTGAAGGACCAATGACGGCTGTGCAAACACTCAGAGGATGCCCATTGTTTTAACTACAGAATAAGGCGTTTTGATGTGAAAAGTAAAAATTTGGAAATCCCAACTCTTACGGTTTGGTCACCAGTTTAGAGAAATTATATTACTACTCCAGAATCTCTAGCAGCCATATCACCCTGCAGCTCACAACTGGCAGCCCCCTGAAGCTCAGCAGGTGTGAGCCTGGTCAGTACCTGGATGGGAGACTCCTGGGAAAAACTAAGGCTGCTG